ACCTGAATATTGTAGTACGACGTGGGCAAACATCTCCGAGTGCGAAAGTCATTTCTTCAAAGCACTGGTCTACGTTTAAACCACGCGCGAAGTTATACCACAAAACTGCCCGAATCTCACTTCGAGACCACGAAGCCATAGCAAGAACTTCAAACTGCCACTGTCACCGAAGAACTGAACCCGCAGACGCGACACAGTGGCTGCTGTGCATGTATGAACATGTCTCAGCGCCCTGCGACAAACAGCCTCCTGTGACTGACGGTTGCGTCGTATTGCAAAACTTTCCTAGTGCCCTTTGTATGTTGCAGGAAACCCTTCAACTTTTTTCCTCCTGTTTGACCCGCTAATTTACTTTGCCACATATACTCGCATAATCCCTTCAACATCCGTTCTGTCCGTTTGTTTTCTGGTTCCGCGCGGGTGGGCGAATCTGATCACAACTACATTTCAGCCATAAAGCACACATATTTCTCTCCCCTATGATTTCAGCCAAATACATTTTTAAAGAATAATTGTCAAAGTTTTATTAAATAATGATAATATTTTTTAAATTAGTATTTTTTCTATTGAAATATAAATTTTATTCTACAAAATACATATATTATATTTCTAATAATAAATTATAGCCAAAAATACTGAAACTTCTTAATGTAAAACAAAATGCAAATGAATATATTTCGATCTGAATAAAGTTATTAAGTGTTCAGCATTTTTGCAAATACTTACGGCATTTTTAGAGATAATTTTGAAATATTGAAGAGATACTGAATTTCAGATTTAGTTGACATCTAACCTAATTCTTTTAAATGTATATTTATATTTTAAAAGAAGCCCGAGTTATTAGATTCTATTTAATATTTAAACTGATCCGTTGATTATGGCGCACCTCGAAAAGTGTCTAAAAATAGATGTTTTTAAATAAAGCTTCTGATTTGATTAGTGCCCTTTCCCTTAATTCATCGCCTTCCTAAGTGTCAATCATTTTGAATCGGACACACTCACACTTCCCCATTCTTTCGTATGCCCAAATGACCTGGTCCTCAACAATTCTCTAAAATATACTAATATTCACGTCTTGAAAATATCAGTGTAATCTTGCATTTGTAATACACACGCATCGGAGGCTTACCCTGTCTCGAACGAATCCTGAACGAGTGATTCGTGACTGGGCCCGTGTTATGTAATCTCCAAGCGGCGAGGCAAAGAAGACTGGGACCTAGCAGAACGAGAAACCTTGGGGTCGAAGAGTAGCAGGTGTGAGAAGTGACGGTTGGAAATTGAGAGATCTGTGAATGATGTACAAGAGAACTGCACGGAGATAAATATTACGAAAGTATGGGACCGATGATCAACTAAGAAGTAAAACAATCGGTGAGTACTAAACAATAAAAATTTAGTCTGCTAAAATTTAGCCAGTGTCCTAATTTCGAGTAATTATAGGTTCGTTATATAGAAATTGACTCATAATCATCGTGCATCAAGTTAAAAATAACAACTGCTTTTAGAATTACATTCATTATAAGGGACGAAAAACTACAAAATATACAGATTTTAACATCGGAGTTATTTCAATTAATCACCGCATTTGTCCTTCTTCCTTTCCACACAACGCAGAGGAATCTACTCACTAAAAAACAGGAAGATATCATAGATATGTGATTGGATTGGCGTTAGTAATTATACCCTCATTTAAAGTTGAGTTGATGCTTTGATACGTTTTGAAATTCAAGACGGCATTCGTTTTGTGCGATTAACGTAAAACATCTTAGAGCCCCTTAAACGCATCATTTCTAGTACATTTTAGCCAAAATATTTTTAAAATTAATAAACCGCGTCATTGTCATTTAAGTCATTTAAGCCGAACAGACGTCCCCCGTCCCCGGTACTAGGCATCGTTATGTCGAAGTCGATTCGGTACAAGTCATATAAAGTTTCTCGAAAACTCAACCGTTTTGTGAAAAGTAGCCCAACATTTCGCATTTTCAGAAACGCTCAAATGCTTTTTTCTCAAAAAATGGCCCACATTTGTTCTCCAAACGTTTTGAAGGGAAAGTGCTAATTGCACCGTTTAATATGTCGTGGAGTTCATTTGGGGTATGTTTTTGTTTTAAAAAAATACACAACTGTATTGTTTTAAGATCTTACGTCGATAATATGTACTTTTCCATCAATTTATGTACACTATTGTATTTGTGAAGTGCTTTAAATGTCTTCAAATGAAGTTTTTTCGAAAACTCAAAATTTTTCTGTGAAAATATCGTCAAATTTCGAATTAAATGTAGTGCTTAAGCGCAATTTTCTTAAAATGGTTCTAATTTTTTTCAAAGAAAATTTCCGGTTAGATCATCTTGAGTGACGGAGGAGTATTGGGAAAAGTATCCGGAACAAAGGCTACTAAATCATTAACATTGACACCGGCCGTTTAAACCTTCGTTAGAATACTGTGCTCAAATTATCCGTGACCTCCTATTAAGAACTACAAATTTGAGTATCACCAATCCCATGCTGATTAGAAGAACGAAATGTATGGTGACTTGGTTGCCATGGACATTTCGAAATTACGCGGTTTCCGAACACGAATGTGGTCGTATATTCAATGAAAGCGAGGGAAGCATTGCTTCCCCTACCATTTCCAAGAATATCTTAAATTTAAATGCTACTTGACTAGTAATTTATAATCATTTACTTGTATTCCAACTAAAAACCGTTGACCGCCCGCCCAGTCTTATCTTTCCAAAATGGGTACGTAATTATTATTGTCACTAAGAGATATGGTAGAGTTCGCCTCTAAAGCTCTTTGTAAGCAATGCTATGATCAGCAGATATAGGAGGGGCGTGTGGTGGGCGCACGCGGGCTCATTCAGTCGAGCTCACCTTCGGAAGTTCCAAAGGCGGTCTCGACTGGGAACCAAATTGGAAGCAATCGGCCATTTGCGTACAGCGTGACTCACTGCACGCGTGTGGTGGGCTCCATAAGTGCCTATCGGTTCAGTGGTATTAATTTATTTTTTTCTTAGAGTTCTTGTTTTCATGTGCTGAAACAAATTTCACCACGCGCCACTGGATTCACATCTTCCGTGAGCTTATTATTTTTTCGAAACACATGTTCCACCGAAAATACACATTCTTCGTGTATCTTACATTTACTTACACTTTGTGTTTTTCGAGTGCACGGAACGGTTAGCAATATAGCGCTGGTTTCATTTTCAGGTATTGCTTGCTTTTTTTTCGAAAATTGCGAAAAACAATTCAAAACCACAAAATTGAAAATAGAGATTTTCCCATGTTTTACAAAATTAGCTCTTTAAAAAGGTCATGTACAATGTTTTGAAAAACGAGTAGTTTTTGTGTTATTTCTGCTTGAAGGAAAAGACAAGGTCACTACTCCAGTGATCCAGTGAATTAAGTAAATTGTTTTCATTTGATATGCCAACTGTGTCCCAGACTTCGCTAGCAACAAATTGTCATCTAAAGTGGGAGTTTGAGGCAGACAAAATACTTAAAGGAATTTTTTGGCATTTTTTAAACAAAACTTTATTGTCAAATAACACGCGACATATAAATAATTGTGAAATGACGCAAATGAATATGAGACATTGAGAATATGAATCGTCAGAAGATCCAAAAATTAATTGGATTAAATGCATTTTGGGAAAATATAAGATTTTCTTTGAAATGAAAGCAGCAAAATATTAGAACAAAGACACTTGAGGTGTACAGTTGCGGTGCGACATGAGCGCATCGATGGGGAGGAATAGCAATGAAACAAGTGAACTGGTTAGACAAGGAAGTGCAAGTGAGCAAAGTTGGCCATAATCATACCGGATTTGGTAGACGAAGGATAGATGGCCGTCAGAGACATAAGTAGAAATATTTCGTATTCAGATCGTGGAGATAGAAAATGCACATGTATCCTTGTGTAATAAAGGTATACGATATTAAAAGAAATGCAATAAGATAGAGAAAGAATATTTAAGTTTATTTTGCTTGGGGAAATTCGATGGCCATTGAAGTTAACAAATATAGAAGTATGATGAAATAATTTTGATCATAAAAAATATAGAAATTGATCTAATTAATTATCGAGTCCGACACACAATGAATCTGGCAATTTATAACAAAATTTGCAAGTTGATTAATTTATCATTAAGGAGTAATTAGGAGTAGTAACAAACATTTCCTAACGAAAATTAAATTATCCACGGCACATTAGCGATGATTTCAGGCGAAGGGGAAAAGAATATTACCTTGAGAAAGCGTAAGTATGCTGACGCCCAAAAATTAAGTAAAAAAAAGAGAGAGAGAAAAAGAGAGAGGGAGAGAAAGAGTAAGAGAGAGAG